ACACGTACATATTCAATTATTTATAAATAATAAATTTAATTTCTTCAATATATTTTTGAATATTTATTAATCGGATATATAAAAATAAAATTCAGCTGAAAAGGAACATAATAAATTTTCATAATAAAAGGAAAATAATTAACCTTAGTAAAATAATAATAATAATAATAATAATAATAAAATTATAGAAAAAGAAAATAAAACTTATAAAGAAAATAATATTATACGATAGTAAACCAAAAATAATCAAGCTCATAGTAAAAAGGAGTAAAATTGATGCAATATTATCAATTAATTCTTGTATCATCTTTATTGCAACCTACAGTCCTAAATTGACTACTGAGGCTAAACTGTACATACAGTATTGCGGAGTTAAAAATCCTCCAATGTGGTTGTATTAGCAATGATAGTTCTTCTTTCAGATACTAAAATTAATTATAATCGATTAAAATTTTTTTTTTTTAAAAAAAAAAACACTAATGACATGTATAAAAATTTTATTACCTAAATTTACTGGTTCAAAAAGTTTTTGAAAATTTAAAAGTCTACTCGTATAAATAGCTTGCTTATGTGCCTGATAATGGAACCACTCGTCTGATTTGAAATTTCAAAAAAAAAAAAAAAAAATCGATTAATTGTCAATTAGATATAAAATTGATAAACGAATCTTGAATACAAACCGATAATATCTGCATTTCCAGCATGTTTATTTTTAGATTTATTATCTGATTAGAATGAAATTAAAACTTATTGTTAGATAAGAAATCATGAACAAATATAATTATCTACTATGTAATTTACTATGTAATTTAATGCAAACCATTTGCCATGCCGTGATTTTGTAGATATTGATGGTATCCATCTGTCACACCTTGCAACTCTAACAGTGTATTTAACATTGATTTTCTTTTTCGAGTTTTTTTGGATTTGGATTCAGATAATTGCCTATTATATTCTTGATATTGCTGATATTGATGAGATAAGCATTGCTGAAACGATTTAGATTGTTGATATTTTTGGTACTGTTCATCTTGAGCTATTTCCGTAGTCAATGTAGAAAATCGAAGATGGTTCGTGTCTTCTGTATTTGCTTGTTCCTGAGAACGTTTCAAGTTTTCTACTAGTTCTTTAGTTGTTGGTCGATTTTGAGGTTCGGCATCTAGGCATTTATTCATTAAATCCAAAATTAGATAAGGAACTTTACAATTGATTTTAGGTCTATGACCGCGACAAATTTTTATTGCTAAGTCTTTATCATGAGGAATATCATGGTATGGCGGGTATCCATTTAAAATTTCCGACATGATTATTCCAAAGGAATAAATATCTGATTTCTGTGTATATTCTTTTTTATATAATACCTCTGGAGCAACATAAGGAAGTACTCCAAAAATTTCTTTGGATTTCGAATTTTGAGATGTCGGTCTACATAATCCAAAATCAGTAATAAAAGAACTAATTGTAGTTTCATTGACTATATTTCCGGAGTGAAGATTTTTATGCATTAATTCAGCATTATGAATTGTGTGAAGCCCTTCAGCTATGCAATGCAAGTTATTTATTTTATCTGAAAAACTTAGTTCACAAAATTTATTATCTAATAATTTTCGAAGGCTTCCTCGTTTTGCATATTGCATAACTACCATATAATTATTGTCTCTCGGATCTTTAGTTATTCCGTAAATTGTAATTACTGATTTGCCTTGACATTTATGCTGACTTTTAATCTAATATATTAATTGATATAAAATAAAATATAGATTGAATTATATACTGTAACTGAGTCTAAATAGGCAAATTAAAATGTATGATATTACCAATTGTAAAAATTCTCCAGTTAAAAGTTTAGAATTATTAAGACTTTTTAAGCAAACCATTATTTGTGGCGCTCTTTTCCATTGCCCATGCACGTAAGCCGGTCTTAAAATATATCCTTCATCCCATATTGCCTTGAAGACAGTAGTAAAACCCCCTTGAGCAAGGAACTTAATATTTGTAAATTTATTGAAAGGAATCCATTCAATAACTTCACTTGAATAACTCGCTTTAAGTTGTGTTTTTTGAATAAAGCTGTTAATATCAATATCTCTGCTCGTCCAGTTGCTAAATTCTTTTTGAAATCTGAAGTTATTATAAAAATAATATATTATTATATATTATTTATTTCGCTAAAAATGCAATGATTTAAGTAAATTTAATACCCCCTAGTGCGAATTAAAGGATTAATTATGTATAGAATTATGACCGACTTTGACAAAATATATGATTTTAATTTTATTAATAATTCTAAAATGCTTACTCTCTAATAATATGGTATGTCTTTCGTTATTTGTTTAGTCTTTGAAGATTTTTTTGTCTGAATACTCACCGACTGATGGTTTCATGCATACATTACAAATTATTTAATATTGTGTTGTTTTTTAATTAATGCTAATTTTAAAAATTTTAACTTTAAATACTTACTCCCTAATAATGATTTTTTTGTTTATTTTTTTCAAATTTACGAATTATGTTTGAAAATGTCAATAATTCTAAAATACTCACCAACTTAAATTATATTTATTCATTTGAAAATTGCATGTAGTTACAATATTTAATTTATAATTATGATTTTAATTTTTAATAATATTTATGATTCTACTTACTCTCTAATAATTTATTTATCGTTATATAATTTTGCTTTGAATAATGATATAATATTTAAGAATGCCTAACTCTAAATACTCACTCATTAATAATGTTAAATATATATATATGGATTGTTTAGTATTCTTTTTTTTTTTTAAAAAAAAGGATGACAGTAAATACACACAGACTGTAATTTTGCGCATTTTATGAATTGTTAAAGTGTTATTTTAGATTAACAAAATTTTGCATTAAAATATTCAACTCACCGACTGTTTTAAATTTGTGAATGATGTCGATTGTTCAGATTTGTTATTTATTGTTGAATTAATACGAATTTAATTTAAATATTTTATAGTTCTAAAATACTTGCCTCCTAAAAATGTATTTGTTAGAATTATTAATTTCAAATTAGAGGTACTAAATTTAAAAAATATCATAACTTTAAATATTTACCAACTGTCCAATTTGATTTTTAATGGGTGATTATTATATTTAAATTAGTGAAAATTTGATATGGCCTAAATACTTACGGGCTAAAATGTGTGTATTTAAGCATATTATTTAGTGTTATTTATTTTAAATAAAAAAAATTAAATTTTATAGCTTTAATTTAAATACTTACTCCTTACTATAATTTGATTAATTTGGATTACTAAAGGCTTATTTTTATAAGTCATTATTATTTTAATAACTCTAAACACTTACCGATCAGCGCTTTAGTATAAAAAACGTAAATTATTTGTAGCTATGTCGTTTTGCCTTTAATTCATGTTTAATTTTAAAATACTCACACTCTAGTAATATGATTTGTATGTAAGATTTCTTATAGTACTTTTTAAAAATCCTTATCTAAATACTTACGGTCTAATAATTTTTATATGAATATAATTTTTAAATTTTTAGAGTCATTTATAATTGAAAATGAAGATTTTAATTTATTATTTTAAAATTATCTATTTTCATTTGAATACTTACAGACTAGAATTTCATAAATATATTTGTGGATTATTAAAATTATGTTAAATATTTGTTTTTAAGTCGAGTAAAACTTTGATCTCGAATTGTTTAAATACGCACTTCCTAATAATTAAGTATGACATGAATAACAGTAAAAGAGTCTTTAATTTTAGAATCTCTGTAAGTACTTACTCCCTAAAAATTTAGAATTGATTTATGTTATTATATTTGCTTTGAATTAATGTAAATTTCAATAGTAAAAATGAATTTTAAACGTTTACACTCACTCAAGTAACGTAATTACTGAGGATTTTTTTATATAAGATATTTATGATGAGTACTTACCGACTTAGTGAATTATTATTTTAGATTATCATGAAATTAATAAAGATTTAACAAGAAAATTTATTCTGATAGTTATTACTGTTATTCTAAATACTCACTCTCTAATTATATGATGTGTGTACAATGTTTATTGAATTTATTTTTATTTTATACAATTTCGAACTTACAGTAAACAATACCTACTTTCTAATGTGAAATTGATTTATGTTACTGTAATCATTTGAATTAATGAGAAGTTTTAATGTTTATTACTATGAATACTCACTCTCTAATTATATATAACTTGTTTAGATCATTTATTTTATATGTATTTCGGTTATTAAGTAATACTCACTCCCTAAAAATAATAAATTGGTTTATGTTGCTAATAGTATAGTGTGCGTTTGTATATATAATGTAATTATTTTAAATACTTACATTCTAATAATAAATGTAAATACTTAGTACTTTTATTTCAAATTCAAATGAAGACTCTGAATACTTACGACCTAAATTTTTGGGATTCAAAATATAGATTTTTAATATCGCATTTTTTGGTTTTGAGTCAATGAAAATTTTTGATTAAAAAACTTAATTATAAACTCACATTCTAACCATATGTATATGTATGTAATTGTTAGAATCTTCCGAATATATTAATTAATAGTAAAACTTAATTTTATAAATTAATTATACACACATTTCAGCAATTGATCCAAGAGCTTTCTCTGCCCATTGCAAATGCAGCTGATTAATTGTAACATCATTATTTGTATTTTTTTTAGCATTTCTAATCAACATATCTAAGTTTATAAAAAAATCTTCAAAGTTCCGCATCAAATAATAAGTTTCACACTTGTATCTATCCACGATTGTACTATTTGGTTTAATTTCTGATGATTTAATTAAATCTACGAGCGCTTCTTTGTATTTTCCCATAATGAAATAAGCTTTTCCTCGATATAATAATTCAGATGCATTGACTGGTTTGACTGGTTTATAATTAGATGGCTCTTTTGCAAGTATACTAAACAATATTGATCTACGTTCTGCTCCAGATGTATTAATTTGTTGATCTTTCAAAGAATTTTTCAAAGATTCGGTTATTTCATCAGTTAAATCAACGAGGGTTTGTTTGTATATGCCCGTAAAGAAATATTTCTTTCCTCGATATTTTACTGAAAGTTAATTATTAGTCTTTCCGAATGGAGACTTAAAAATATCATGTGTCATTACTGCAATAGAAAATCTGTAATCAAAAAAAGGATATCTAATTTTTTATCTGTGCCTGGAATATTAGGTACGTACGGTATAGTATTTGCATTTTTTTCGTAATTTTAACAATATCAGTTCTTGAATCTTGGCTTAGTGATTCGATGCTTCATTCTTGATATTTATAAATTGTCCTCATCATTTTACGCAGTTACCACTGCGATCTACCATCTACATAGTTCCTACCAGAATATGCAAGTTTACATTGATTCACATATAGATCCACTGGCATCTTCTAAATTTCGAATAAATCCAAATGAGTAAATAAACAATGGGCCAAAAAATAAGAAATAAATAAAAGATGGTCAAATAAAATCACAAGATATAAAAAAAAAGAAAATGGTATGTAAGTATGTACGTACAGTACGTATACAAGTTTCAAAGAATAGTGACACCTAACACAGAATTCCTTCACACGTACATATTCAATTATTTATAAATAATAAATTTAATTTCTTCAATATATTTTTGAATATTTATTAATCGGATA